GACTATTTCACATCCATTGAAAGGACCTTTTTCATCATTGAAAAGGTCCTTTCACTGGATGTGAATTTCATTAGACCATGACTATTTCACATCCATTGAAAGGACCTTTTTCATCATCGAAAAGTTAAAAAAAGACAGATCCAAACATGTAAGGTCTTTGAGCAGTTTCTGAGACTGGAACTGTCCGTTTCTGAAACAAATGGGAATAGTACACATGAAAGTACACATCGAAGCAAGATGAACTGTGAACTTGCAATGATAGAGGCCTTTAAGTTTTTTTAACACCTTGGACGATTATTCATATTTGTATCTATTATTGCAAGCTCGCCGTTCGTCTCGTTTCGATGCGAAGGCACGGCTACATTTGAAGATGGCGCAGGAAATGTGAAGGTGACTATTTTTTCCCAATCATACGAAAAAAAGTTATTTGTTTTCAGGTACATATTTTAGGGTATAATCTAAGGACACTATAATCCGAGTTAACGCTAAAACATTATCCTTTTCAAGCAGGCAACAAAGACCAATAAAAACCCCGGATAAAAGCCTACAGATAAAAGAAGTGTACAGTTGTCAATCTACATCTTTGGCTGTACTACAACCATGAGGTGAGCTTTCTTTTAGCATGTTATACTTGTTAGCAAGTCATATATTGAATAACGACAAATCTGTTCTCAAAGTAATGTCACGTGGTCGTCTGCATGTAATGGGATAACATTTCATCCCAACGAATTACACAGGTCTTTTCCTTGAATCTAGCATTTCTCGATCCTTCACTAATAAAATGGATGATATGTGACGGAAAAAGCTAACGCTTGCGACAGGTCAAATCAATCAACTTTCTTTCAGATACATTGGTGTCTAAAGTATCCGATTCTTTTCCAGTTTTTTTGCAGTGAAGAAACCATACCAATTTCTAATCTTGGTTTCGTTTGGCGTAGTCTCCTTGATGTGTTTTCTGTACGCCTCGCATCGTCACAAGCCCAGATTCCAAGAAATTTCCATGACGTTTGTTTTCGCAGAAGAATCACCAGTGAAGGATAACACAACCCATTACAAACCAACATCGACTTTATACGCGAAGGATGAGGRTATCTACTTCGCCCATTTCGTTGGGGATAACAACTCTAGTATCAAACGTCCCCTCCCTGCTCCTCGAAGTCACGTGACATTATCTAGTAGCGACGTTATCAGGCTATTCGTACGGGATATTGGGTGCGCAAGGATTGGGGACAAGCATGGCCTTATTTATCAATATCTAAAAATTGTAGTCATTTGTTTCGACAAAAACCGAGAAATGTTGTGCCATAAATGGACTTGGGATCCTGCGAACTGGACATTGGTTTTGTCGGAGAAAGAGGAACTTTTTAATGTCCGCGGTCCTTACCGAATCTGCGTCTTCCCACGCGCCACAGAAAGAGTCGATAAAATTGTCTATCCAAATGGAGCGGAAGAGCTGCCAGGCTGTACGAAGGATAAGTCACCCTGTTCATTCACGGAGCCTTATTTCGACAAGGTACTCAACATGCGCATAAATTGGAGTCCATGCTGTCGACGAATAATGATCGACATGCTAAGCGCAGCACACGATGTCTTTGAGTATCACAAAGTTCGCTATGTACTTGTGGGAGGCGCAGTTATCTCCGTCGCGCGAGAGGATGGGAATCTTATTCCTTATGACACCGATCTGGACCTCRTCATTGATAAGAGAGATCGCGCGAAGTTCAACAATCAAACAGCCGAAGACATGGGCGCACTTGGGTATTATTATGAATATCGTCAACATGGTAGCTACGTACGGATATGCGCAAATCGAATCTGCGATGCACACATAGATATATGGTTCTACGAAAACGATCCGAGAGATAGACACATGATTAAGTACTATAAGATGTGGTTTTGGACGATACGAGAGGAACATTTATTTCCAACTACCTTGATTACCTTCGAGGGAAAGAAATACCGCTTTCCCAGGAAAATTTTGAAATATCTGCAACATGAATACTCAACGGGGTTAATGGCGGGCTATCATAACTGGAATCAAGTCTTGTTGTGTAATTTTAAGCGGGGGCGAAAATGCACTTTCTACTCATAGTGCGTAGACGAGAGAATGTCTCTTGATATACACTATCAGTCATAACAGTACTTCAGAGATTTGATTAGATTTCTATAATGCGCGCGGAGTCGTTCTCACACGACAAGTTTAGGTTTTGGTGGACGTCAATTGAAGTGTTTCATTAACAGAATCGGGTCATGTACCTAAGGAATGGCATGGAAAAGCCTTGAGTTTCTTGTTACATATCTATGAAACTTATAGGAAATACATTGAATTTACCACTCCTAGAGCGCAGCAATTTCAAGGAAATATCCGGCCACACAACATCGTGAAAACTGAATCAGATCATAATAGCCATTCCGAGGTTGAGGAAAAAACTGGGTCGAGTTGGCATTGCAGTGCATTGTGGGATTGTTTTGGGAAACTGCAAGAAAGAAATAGACGTCAGTTTGGAAAGATGTCTCCTAAAGGCCGGTTTAGACGGTACGATTTCCGCCTACATCTATCGTATACAACACGCTCCCGTCTGTCGTAGGCGAGTTGTAGGCTTGATTTACACGCTACGTCTCGAGTTGTAGGATGGCGCGAGCGTGTTGTATACGATAGTTGTAGGCGGAAATCGTACCGTCTAAATCGGCCTTAAAGACAGTACTACTTTGCACTGCGATACCAAGTTTTTTACTCAACCTCGGAATCACTGAGAGCGCAAATTCCCCTAGTCTCCCTCGCATCCATTTTTAGTGTCGGTCGTCACGCAACTCGAAAAATAGCATTTTCCGAGTACCAATTAGTAATACTGACCTGCCATTTCAAAATATGCCAAAAGTTAGCTAAATTTGTTCTACTTGATACAGGCCATGGATGCTTTAAATGTTAGAGTTGCTTGATATATGTTTTCACATCTTTTACTTACACATGCGTTCGCATAATTTCCAAAGTCTATTTGGTTTGATGATTAAGATGTAAATATAACGAATTTTAAAAAATAAATAAAATATGCTATTATCTAACAATGTGTTCTCAGTTGACCCTAACATGTCCTACCAGTAGTTGCGGTCACGCGTAGATAAAACCACAGGTAGCCCATACGTTTAATCGAGAATCATTTGGCAACATTCTATCACCATGCATCTGAATTTTTGACTTAGTATTTAAGATAAACGCAGGGATAAACCTTGATCTTTTTATTCTGTGGAGCTAGACTAAGCGATTAAATGCGGCGACTGCGCTTTTMTTGCTGCTCCACAGGAAGCCCAATCATCGTAACTCCCATGATCCTTCGAGGGGGTTCAAAATGGCGGTATGTCTTGTTAGATTATGAGCTAAGCCAAGTCGATGCTCTTATTTTCTTCGTCCTTCATTTCCCTTAGTTAAATAAGGGATATGGAAAGAGGAAAAAGAAAAAAGAAGATTTTATCCTTTATTTTTGAAGAAATTCAAATGATATGGTTGTGCAGAACAACTTTTAAATGTGGAGAAACTTTTTTGTTTTGAGCAAAAAGCAACTCAATCAAAATGGCCTCCAGTTCATCGCTGAAGTTAAATTGGTTGGATCATTTCGACTCCACTTGGGTCAACGAGGATCCCGAAGTCATAGTCACAAGAAAAGGAGTTGTTTCTTTGTTTGAGAAGCTTCTTTCCAACAAAGAAGCTGTATCGATCCCTCAAGCACCGTTACAATTGCGAGGACCGCTGTTACCCGATTTTGAACGAGGGACAGCGTCACAAAATGAGCAAGACCAGTTCCTCAATGATCTTTTGTCGAGTCAGCTAACGCTAGCTAGACTTGTCAGCTCGGATTCACCATTTTATTCTACTCTTCGGCGCCGACTTGCTATTTTACAAAGAATATTTTGCGCCCTTTCTGCAAAATTTCACAACAAGGGAAAACCGAATCTTTTGACTGGTGCAAGTTTAAATTCTAACGATCAGTCTCAAGTAAAGTCCAAGACAGCCGATGTTAAGTGTGGAAAAGACGTGTTAATAGAGATGGGAATCAAAACGGGGCTTTCTATGCTTTTCTCCCTACTCCGACAATCTTGGCATAGCGGACAGGGAATAATTTGCAATGATGTTTTGGCAACAGCTTCAGCTGTTTTATCATCATTGCCTCCACTATCGCTTTCTCAGGACTCAAAAATACCAGAACTTGGTATAGAAACCTTGAGGCAAGTGTCTGAGTTCTTAATGTCGACTGCTTCTGCTCAATCAACTGCAGACAATAATGGCAGAAGGCTTGCTTGCGAGCTGTTGCTAAGAATTGGTGTGCATAGGGGATCACTTAAGTGTTTGTTGGAGTGGATTGAAATGGCAATAGTCATGGATTGTGTTAAACCAGAAGATAGCGCCAAAAATACAGCTTTAATTGGTATATCAGTAGATTGTCTGGAGGATATGTGCAGACAAATGAGAAAACTCATGGTATGTATGCATAGTATATTTTATTTAATTATAATTTTTAATAATAGTTATTAATACTATTAATTTTTGTCTCAACATCCCCTGTGGTTAAGTGCTAAATAATTTAGAGTGATAATTAGAGTCAATGTTGTCATCAAACAATTTTTTTTTTTGCGGGCATAATATATATATATTTTTAAATTTTTGGTTTGATTTCATTTTCCTTTTCACTTTTTGTTGATCTTTTTCAATGTCCTTATTTTTGTTGTTAATTCAGTGTATGTATAAATACCATTATTATTAATCATTCATTTATCATATATGTATCATTAATTTATCATACATATATGCTCTTCATTAAATTTTTCTAGTCAGACCAGCAGTGTTTTCAGAACGAGTCTTTTAGATATAAATTTATACTAACATGTTTTTGGTTATTATCCTAATAGATAACAACAGCAGAGACACATTCTTTTACCTCTCAAGAAGACAGAGATAGCAGTTTTGAAGAGATGGACAGCAGTTTTGACTTGATTCCTGATTCAGAGACCAGACTTGTTCCTCTTCATAAAGCTGCTGTTTTTCTCCTAAACCAGGTATGTGATGAAGAAATAATGAATGAGTTATGTGCTGCAGGTGATAGGATCTATTGTAATTGGGGAAAACCTGTAGTAGATTCCTAGCATCTCTCTTTGATCTCTTTTAATATTCAGCGATACGTTTTGTAGTCTTTTTTCTTTAACCTGCTAGCTATTGATAACCTAAGAGTTAGCTATAAGTAAAATAAAATGAAATGAAATAAGTTATAAAGTACTGGAAAGTTGTCAGAACATGAGAGAAGGGTTAGAAGAATCATGGCATGTAATTGAGCTCTTTTCAACACTTGTGTTGGCTGACCCACAATCTTTATAACAGCTTATAGCACTGCAACCAATTTTTTTTTTCTTTTATGAAATACCATTTAGAACAGTGATTTTGGATGTGCGAAATGATAAATAGATTAAATGTGCTGCCAATCCTCAAGTATAACAGCATACAACACAGCACTGCAAGCAATTTTTAAAAATATAAATTACCAATTAGAATAGCTGTTATTGGGGATAAGAATGGTGTTAGAAATAGTTTCCTTTACTAAATTTTCAATGACATAGACCTTCTCGATGAGCGTTACGCTCTTGGGGTTAATGTAACGACAAAATGTGTTTAAATAAAAAAATAAACAAAAAAGATTTTTTCAATGCTGCAGTCAAAGAAACATCCAGATTGACTTCAAAGCTTGTTTCCTTTATATATTCAGGTAACCAACCTTGCTGAGCATTATGCCCTAACATCAATAAAGAATGGCACATCAGGGGAACTACAGAGCAATGGCTTCAATACTGGAGATGAAGTATTTGTATGGGGGAGTAACAGTAGTCACCAATTAGCAGAAGGAAGTATGGACAAGATACTCATCCCTAAGCTGGCTACATCATTTGGTAATGCTCAACAGGTAAATAGTAAGGTTACAAACAATAAAATTTTAAATATGTAATTTATGTTCCTTCAAGCTCCATGTGGGGTTTGAACCAGTGACCTTCTGTTTGCTAGTCAGATGCTCTAACCACTGAGCTTCTGGAAGTCATGTGGGTGATCGACATCTTTAATGACTATCCAAGCAGCAAAAGCACCTTAATAATAAAGTTTTAGTTTATAGATATATTATATCTTGGTCATATTTCTGTTATCTTTGCAACTTTTAGCTATATTGTATTTTGGCTTGAGTCCATCAAAAATTTRCAACATTTTTATTAACACAAGCTGTTGGAATATTGTAATAGGTTATTGGATATAGGAGAAAAAGAAGGTACAGGGCACAGCAGCGTCAATAAGCATTCTATTATATGACCCTAAATAAAAAAGATACCTTAAAAGTTGCAAATTATGTCAATACGGTCGCAGGTTTTGAGCAGGGCCATACAGATTCGTATGGCCCTGCTCGCTCAAAGCCGTACAGCCCTGCTCACGCCATTTTCCCGAAGGTTTTTTAAGATCGTGTGCCTGGGCAGATACTGGTCATATTTTTACACAATCAAGGCTAAGACTGAGCAAAGGCGAACTCGAAATGGGAGTATTCATGGTTTTAGTTACGTTTAGTTTTCCCAGTGTAAAAAAGCTGTAATTTACTAAATTACTAAAAGTTTATTTTTTAATTTCTCTATGACAACCTGCGTGCAAGTAGGTGTATCTATCCCTAGTAGGATCCTATATAGACATGAGCAATGATGAATTTTTTCACATGACTTGATATCAAGTGATCAGCACACTAGATCCTGATGATCAAGCATGATACTTAATCTTCTCTCTGAGCTCACCCCTACACACTACACTGTCATATTTATTCATTATAACTATATGATGGTAGCAGTGCACTTGCTTCTAAACTTTGGGGTCTCTTAATTCATGGACTCGGCTTCTCATGCGTAGAGTTTGTTAGTTCTCTCCACTGACTCAAAGGTTTGTGTCCTGGTTCTCAAGGCAAAACCTAACAAGCTAGATTCCATCTCAATCTTTGAGTTAGCCATGCCATGACTTTGATCACCCCAGAGGTTGTTTCAGGGCATTGATCTGTGAGTTAGCCATACCTTGACTTTGATCAGAACAGAGGTTGTTTCAGGGCATCAATCTGTGAGTTAGCCATGCCCTGACTTAGATCAGCTAAGAGGTTATCTCAGGGTATTGATCTGTGAGTTAGCCGTGCCCTGACTTTGATCAGCTGTGAGGTTGTTTTCAGGGTATTGATCTGTGAGTTAGCTATGCCCTGACTTTGATCAGGCTACTTCTATAATATTTTGTACAGATGGAGTTGATTAATAATTGGTATTGCCTTTCAGATAGAGGCGGGCCAGTACTGTACCTTCGTAATCTTTCCTGATGGTTTTTTACATGCATGTGGCAAGGTAAGCTTTCTTTCTTAAATTACTCAAACAATGGTTTGATTTTGAGATATGATGATCTGTATCATGGGCGGCGATGAGAGTGAGACAATTTCTGGCAAAAATTAAAATATAAACATAGATCTTTAACTACACCAGGGCTTAAAATAATGGCAACTCATTGAATAAATGCCAGAACAGAATTAAAACTTGTCCCTTGAAACATTTCCTTTGCCAGTTATTTTGACCAGTAATCTTGATTCAGAAACCAAGTATGATTGAGCTCGAACTAATTTGGTTGGTCATCATGACCAGCAACTGACCAGACACACCAAAACGCCAAACCAAAAAATGCCACCATTACATTTTATGTTTCCAAAATTTAAATTACCGTAAAATTTTTAAAAAGGCCACCAATTTGTTGTCATGAAGAGGGAAGTAAGGTTGGTTTGGGAGTAAGCCTCCTATTTTAGATTATAATGTCCTCACTCTCTTGAGTATCAATTTTTTAATTACTAAAATCCTTACAGAACTAAAGTACATTAATATTGGTATAACTAGAACAATGAACCAAATTCACTTGGGCATAATGTTTCAGACCACGTGCCATTCCGTTGAGATTAGCGTTCTGTATTTGGGTTGTATCCATATTCATGTGTCTTCTCATCGCAACTGTTAAATAAAGGAATAATACTCTAGGGAAAGACACATGGTCTATGAGAAAACAGTGCATTAGGAATCCTTTCAGTTCAGTTGGAATAAAAGTAATGATTGGGCTACCTGTGTTTTATTTTTCAGGGTAGTTATGGACGTCTTGGTCTTGGTGATTCCACCAATCAGGCTCAACTAAAGAGAGTGGGCTTTGATGTTGATTATGTTATAAAGAGGGTTTCTTCCTCTAAAGGATCGGATGGTCACACGCTGGCTTTGACTGTAGATGGCAAGGTGTTTAGCTGGGGAGATGGTAGGCGATAAAAACCAGAATTCATTCTGTTTCATAACCTTACTAAATGATTTAACATACCTTTCTTAACAAATATGTGGTTTTAACACTTATATATTAGACAAAGTGTTTTATTGAAGCAAGCATCTCACAAAATGATTTAAAATACCTTTCTTAACAAATATGTGGTTTTAGTAAAAATACGCAGGTGATTATAGAAAATCTCTCGCGCTGATTGGTCAAGAAACTCACACTATCACACGATAATCACCTCGAGTGAAAATCCAAAATGGCGGTCAGCCTCTTCGTTGCCGTTACCGGAAAAATGCCTTTTATCTTCTTTTTTTAATTTTTTTGAAAGAATCAACTGTGTATTTATACTAAAACAATTATTTGCCTCAGGCTCAGTGATTATTGAGAATTATTTACCTCGCTGCTGGAAAACTCGCRTCTTGGTAAATATTCCCCGATAATCACTTCGCCTTCGGCGAATAGTTGTTAATTAACACCTTTGTTATATTAGACAGTGTTTTATTGGGGAGGTGTTCAGTTATAAGAATTTCTCTGATCTGTCTCACAGCCTCATTGAAGAGGGAAGAACGTCAAAAATGCTTCAAAGCCATTTTGTTTAACGTTTTTATTGGGCTTCCTGTGCTTTTGATAAATTTTGGCATTGGAATGAGGTAGGCATGGATACTTACTATAGCTACCACACCTTTTTCAGGGGATTATGGTAAACTTGGCCATGGTAACAGCCAGACTCAGAAGGTTCCAAAACTGATAGAAGGACCTTTAGCAAACAAGGTGAGCTTAAGACTAAAAGTGTGTAAAAAATATCTATTTTTTCCTTTGAATCATTGTTCATTTTCATACCTAATAACTTTAAACCTTCTTTTAGCCTCACTAATCAAGGTTAAATTTCATATTCTCTGCTTATGGTTCTATTAGAGTGAGTTCGACCTTTAAGCCTTGGGTTTCATTTAATATGTTCTGTCGTAGGTTGTGACCTGTATTGCAGCAGGATATAGACACAGTGCTGCTGTTACTGAGGACGGAGAGTTATATACCTGGGGAGAAGGCGATTATGGTAGACTAGGTATTATGACAAACATGTTACCATCAATCTACTGATACCTTGCTGTCAACTAACCAACACCCTATTGACAACCCATGAACACCCTTCTGACACCTACTAACAACCTATTGACAACCCACCAACACCCTACTAACTTGTAACCCACCAACCCTTTTAACAACCCACCAACACTTTACTGACAACCCATCAACACACTACTGGCAACCTACCAACACCCTACTGACAACCTACCAACACCCTACTGACAACCTACCAACACCCTACTGACAACCTACCAACACCCTACTGACAACCCACCAACATCCTACTGACAACCTAGCAACACCCTACTGACAACCTGTACCAACGACCTACTGACCACCTACCAACACCCTACTGACAACCTACCAACACCCTACTGACAACCTACCAACACCCTACTGACAACCTACCAACACCCTACTGACAACCTACCAACACCCTACTGATAACCTACCAACACCCTACTGACAACCTACCAATACCCTTTTAACAACCCACCTACACTTTACTGACAACCCATCAACACACTACTGATAACCTTTCAACACCCTACTGACAGCCTACAAACACCCTACCGACAACCTACCAACACCCTACTGACAACCTACCAACACCCTACTGACAACCCACCAACACCCTACTGACAGCCTACSAACACCCTACTGACAACCTACCAACACCCTACTAACAACCCACCAACACCCTACTGACCACCCATGAAGACCCTACTAACAACCTACCAACACCCTACTGCAACCTACCAACACCCTACTGACCACCTACCAACACCCTACTGACCACCTACCAACACCCTACTGACCACCTAACAACACCCTACTGACCACCTACCAACACCCTACTGACCACCCCCAAACACCCTACTGACCAGCTACCAACACCCTACTGACAACCTACCAACACCCTACTGACAACCTACCAACACCCTACTGACAACCCACCAACACCCTACTGACCACCCATGAACACCCTACTAACAACCTACCAACACCCTACTGACAACCTACCAACACCCTACTGACAACCTACCAACACCCTACTGAACCCACTAACATGCTACTGACAACCTACCAACATCCTACTGACATTACAACACCCTTTCAACAACCAATCAATTCTCTGCCTCAACGTACAGACATCCAATTGGCATATGTTTGAAGAGAACTTTTTCCTATTGACAGGCCATGGAGATAACAATAGCAGAAACATCCCAGTCCAGGTGAAGGATGTATCCAATGTTAGTCAAGTTGCATGTGGGAGTGCTCATACAGTGTGTGTCTCCATTGATGGTGCTACTGTTTGGTCTTTCGGCAGTGGAGATAACGGTAATCTATTTCAAATATTACTTGATATGAATATAGCCACTTCATATAGATCTTATGTAAGTTGTTAATGATAAATCTATGAATTTCATGTGAAAGTGAAATACTGGTTTAGCTTAGTGTGACATCAATTCTATTTATTGAACCCCAAACAACCTCTGAGCTGTGCAAAGTCAAAGCACGGCTAACTCACAGATCAAAGCCTGAAACGACCTCTGGGCTGATCAAAGTCAGCTCACGGCTAACTCACAGATTGAAGCCTGAAACAACCTCTGGGCTGATCAAAGTCAATGCACGGCTAACTCACAGATCGAACCCTGAAATCGCCTCTGGGCTGATCTAAGTCAGGGCATGGCTAACTGTCAGATTGAACCCTGAAACAACCTCTGGGCTGAACAAAGTCAGGGCATGGCAAACTCACAGATTGAACCCTGAAACAACCTCTGGGCTGAACAAAGTCAGGGCATGGCTAGCTCACAGATTGAAATCAAATTTACTCTACTTGTATTGACAAAAGCTATCAAAATATTTTGTGACCCATTATATTTTTTATTTCCAGGTAAACTTGGTCATGGGGATACCAACAGAGTTTAYAAGCCAAAGGTTGGTGTTGTTTCTTTATTATAGTCTTCTTTTCCAATGGATGAAACTATGATTGCTATGTCACCCTTGCCACCCCAATTAATTAAATTAGTAATAATCAATATGTGCTTTAATCACATTTGCAGGTCGTTGAGGGACTACAGGGGATGATCATTAACAAGGTTTGCTGTGGGAGTCAGTGCAGTCTTGCTTTGGCAAACAATGGACAGGTATAGAAGAAATGGCAGTTGGCCACTTTAGAAACAAGCAAGAGACTGGGACGAGTTTTGTATTTTAATCTTATTAGAAAAAAACTTTTGTCATTTGAGAAAGCATCTCAAGATTAGTAAGTCTGGCAAATTTGAACATGATTGGATGAACGAACCAGAATAATATTGTCTTTCAAAAGAGTTGAAAATTTACAAAGAATGTAGGGTTACAGAGGACAATATAAAATTGAAAAATTTAAGTTTACAAAATAATATATATGTATACAAATATATAATTTAAAATATGATATATATAAAATAAAATAAATATACTATATATAATAAAATCTAGTAAAAAATGAAAAATTGTCTGATGTTGCTAAAAACAGGTGGTCAATGGACAATTGCCAGCTAAAATTGGCATTTGTTAAATGTGGCTAGTCATCATGTCCAGCCTTTGAGCAACCATTATTTTCATCTCTGCATTGGCAGACACACACTTTTAAATTCCTAATCTCTGGTATATAAAAATATAGTGTGCTAAGTATCTCAACAGTTTGATGTAAATCGTATTTACAGGTTTATGCATGGGGATGTGGTCCTTGCCTTGGCACAGGATCAGTAGATGCAACATCAGCAAGACCTAAACTGATAGCGGCATTACAGCCATTCCATATAGTGGATATATCAGTAGGGGATAGCCACTGTGTGGCTTTAACTAGAGGTAGGTATACCACACATTAACTTCCTAAGAACAATGGACCTTGGAATTGAATTTCTGTTAAATGAAGACGCCAGTAGTCCCCTTCACAGTTCCCTGCACCATCTTGAAAGGTAGCTGTGCCTTTGCATCGGAGCGAGATGAACTTGTGAATGTTGTTCAAGATGTTTAAAAAAGGTCTCTATCATTGCAAGCTCACCGTTCATCTCATGTAGAATCATTGTCATGGGGAAGTAGGTTTCGGTGGACATCAATCAAGGCATTTCCATGACATTCCATAGGCACAAACTTTGTGCTTGGTAAAATTGTCATGAAAACACTTTGATTGATGACCACCAAAAGTCTATTTTATCTTGACAGCAAATATACAATTTCACACATGCTATAATGAGAAGCACTGTCAGTAATAATGATGGTAATGATGATGATGATAAGTTTGTAGGTGTGTGATATTTACACGTAGAAAACCCCTTGGAGCAATTTACTGAAGTTCCGAATTGACTTTTTGCCCTTCAGATTATTAATAGTCAATCAGATGGAAAACCCAAAGATTTGTTTTCCCCCTTCAGTCTACCCCAAATACTGATGAATTGTATGTTAATAGATAATGAAGTTTATGCTTGGGGTAACAATTCAATGGGCCAATGTGGCCAAGGTCATTGCACGACACCCATCTCAAAGCCGAAGAAGGTACTTGGACTTGAGGGTGTTGCTATACATCAAGTTAGGGCAGGGACATCTCATACAGCTGCTTGGACAGCGCTGCCTTTGGACAGGTAAGACATAATGGATATGATAGGCTGTAAATCAGCCAATCAGAAGCAGGCATCCTCACAATTTAATATCATCTCATACTTCTCATCAGGCAAGTGATTTCATGGTACAGAGCTTACTGTGTAGACCTCAAAGAAACTACATTTGGGTTACTCAAAAACTTCCTTGAGAGGTTTTGTCAAGACCTACAGATGGAATCAGAACATTCCTCTGCACCTTTCTCTACTAGAAGGTAAATTTTTGACAAAAATATCTATTTTTTCATGTTTCTGCTACCAAAACCATTCCTACCAGGGCATTTTTTCATGCCACTATGACGAAAAAAGTGATCCACAAAAGAATCCAAATACCTTCAATGTCTTGTGAGCGTGAATTCCTGTTAATCTACATCTACATCTACATAATTTATTTGCAAAATCCAAAAGGACATCTAGCAAATTCCAGTGCAAGTGCAAGATAAATTAAATAAATATGTGCAAATAAGATAATAATTGTGCTAATAATGATTAAATAAATAATAATCGCTTAATATGTGGTTTTACCAATCATACAGCCCCCCAATCAACCCCTTAACTGGACAGGCCCCGATATGGGGCCAACCAGGCAGCTATACAATTTATAGGCAATGAAACCCCACGCCCCCCAGTCATGGAACAATCGGACCCGAAAAACCCCACAACTACCAAACCGGACTAATCAAGTTTCTTTTAAACCAGTGGAAGAAGAGCCATTTTAGTTTCCATTTATCATCATGTTATTATTCATTATTAATAAAAAATAAATATTTTAAATTTAGAAAAAATTATGGCTTTTTTATTACCCTCCTCATAACTTTCAAATACCTTCAATTACTTATTTTTAGTTTCAATTTTTCTTACAATTTTAGTGAACATCACAAGTTTGTTCTCCTCTGTCTGAAGTTACTCTCCATACATCTGTCACTTGCCGTAGCTGCCGGGGCCTCTTCAAGTGTATTAGGATCCTACACAAGACCTCTGCGAAGACTACTCTTTGGACTCTTAGATGCTCCTGTATCAGAGGAAATACTAGAGGCTGTCAATGAAGCTCTTTCTGTTGGTGCCTCTTTACTTTTACCTCCTTTACCAGAGAGAATGGAAGTACTGCATTCTTTATTACCCCAAGGGCCTGACAGCTGGGAGTCACTCTCTTGTGGAGAGGTAAGGAATAGAAATTCAAGGGTTGGGGGTGCCAGCATGCACAACTGAATGAATGAAGGAAGGAAGGAAGGAAGGAAGGAATGAATGAATGAACCTTATTTCAAAAGGGTTACACACCACAGTTATGATTTAAAAAATCATAGTGATAAACATCTAATATATTTTTTCATTCCCCCTTTTCTTTTAAATTATTTTTTTTTTATAAGAAAAAAATTAAAAAAAAGAATAGCTGTATGAATAGCAAAAAATATTAATAAATGTATTTGAATTAATATGAAACCCACATAAAAAAAATTTTTTTTTTCATTTCCCACCAGCGTAAACAGCTTGGGATCATACTAAACAGTATGCAGGACCACATTCATGTTGCTTCTCTTCTGGGCTTCTCTTCACTGTCTAAAGATGTCACAAGCGGTGACACAGAAGAACCTGACTTCAAAGACAACACTAACATGGCAGCAATCCTCATGAAGATGCTGCTTCGAAACCTTACATTTTACACAGTAAGCTGATTTACACAATAACTTTGTAAAAGTTCTCCAAGTCAGCACGCGCTGTAATCTTCCGATCACCATTATACTTTTGGTTGCTTTTCAATTAACCCCTAAATCTCCCGTTCTGCTGCAGAAGATTATGACTTATCTTCAAAGAACTAAGTCTACTCTCCAATGCAGGACTAATGTCCAAAATGTCAATAAATTTCTGGGTTTCACTTGATGTCATTTCATGTCTAGTGCAGAATGTTCATCATCTGAATCACAAATTTTCAGTAGCATTCTTYGTGGCTGACAGCACATGGTGGTCAGATTTTGACCACTATTTGGAGCAGACAATGAGATTCAAATACTTTTATCAGCTGAATGAACCCAGCAATTACTACATGTATTATAACTTTTATTATTACAGAGGTGGATCCAGGGGAGTGGTGCAGAGGGTGCGCACCCCTCCCTGGTTACGTTTTTAGCTCCTACTTTGAAGATAACCAATTTTTTTTTTTGCCTTTGATTCTAAAGGGTGCACCCCTTCCTGGGTTAACATTGTGTGCAGCACCCCTCCCTGAACAAAATCCTGGATCCGCCCCTGTATTACATGATGTTCTAATAACACAATGAAAGCAGTTTTGTAAATTCTTGTTACTCTTTCTTGCCCTGCCAGGAAAAATGTCTAACAGCCATTGAAGAACCCATGTCAGCAAAAGAACCCCCACACCCAACTGTTGACAGTGAAGCCCCACCCATTCACATACGACAACTGTTACTACTTCTACAAAAGCATCTGTTTGCCTACTGTCAAAATCCAGTCACCACAGACACCCCAACCTATCTACCTTCAGCTGTGAAGCTACTACAGAACCATCTCTTATTGTACCTGCCTTGTGCTGGTGAGATCTTATCCAGTGCACATGATGTACTGGTGAGAGCTGAAGACTCTCAAGTCAGGGACAAATTACAAAGTAAGTCTAGACTTAATAATACAGAGCAACTCACAAAAGTTTGACTACCTAGTATTCACATACTCCTATGCATTGACTTTTGTAACTTAAACCAACACATTTCATTGCAAAGCAGGCTGGTTTTACCAAATAAGGATTGTAAAAGCTCATTTGGCAGCGCAAAGCCTGTGCATTGAAGTATGCAAATACATTAAACATGGTCATACTTTGACAGTCATAAACTCATTTGTGAATATGAAGAAGATTTAAATTCAGTGTAAAAACGTTTGGAACTGTTCTGAAATTTTGGATGTTAGTCCTTCATCAAAAAAAAATCTTGAACCTTGAACCTTGAGTCTGTACCTTGAATCTTGAACCTGTACCTTGAACCTGTACCTGAACCTTGAACCTGTACCTTGTACCTTGAACCTTGAACCTGTACCTTGAACCTTGAATGTCAGAGTAAAAGGGTAAGGACTAAACTCCAAAACGTTAGTACAGTTAATTCAAACTTTTTTATTATGTTTACACACCAAGGCAGTTCCAAACTAGTAACCACTAGTCATTATGTTATACTCTAACTAGTTTTACCTCTACTTTATTACTTCGCAAAGCCGTTACAGCAAAATTTATGAAGAGCATGGTAAGCTTGACCACTAACACTTATGTGTTTATGATAGGTGTTCTCTATAATTCTCCTGCTGGGTCGATGCTGTCAGTTGTTTTCTACTCGTTGATGTTGATGCCATTTGATGTTGTACRTCCATTGTTACCTGTATGTATTGAGTTGCTTCCCATGATGGACAGACTGAACAGGATCCTTCCTGCTGCGGCTGCAATGGAGGACCATGAACTGGAGTGGCCTGTCTTGGGTAAGATACCTCTTATCTGTATTACTTTTATCATTACCATTATTACTAATATCATGATGATCATGGTGATCAATATCATAATGATCTTTGTTATCGTCATCATCAATTAAATTATTAACATCATCGTCATCACCATCACCGTCATCACCATCACCATCATCACCATCATCATCATTGTCACAGTTATCACCACCATCATCATTAGAGCAGTTTTTGTATAACTGTAAAAAGCTTATGGCAGAAACGCTGTCGTGGCACGGCAAGTTATACGCCAGCCCAGTCACACTGCAAGATGAAAACACGRCATGAACATCCAGCCAGAACAATTGCATTGCATGAGAAAAAAATCCCCCAATCAAAATTATAGAAAACGTCAAGGCCTCGGCAAGACATGCATACAGCACTGACTTTTTCCACAGTCATACGAAAACTACTCTATGATTATCCTTGTTGTTAGAACTAATGGGTGTGTATTTCTCAATCATCACATCTCAGTGGTCATCTAATATCTATCATACTTTCCATGTGTCATATCCACCCCTAAAAGATAACAATTTCTCATGCTATTCTTTTCTCAGGTACTCCTCAAAACATAGATCCAGCTGCTCTTCCTCTCCCCCAGCCAGCACAGTCATGGGCGTGGTTAGTTGATCTCCAGCGAACCTGTGCTCTGTTCGTTGGGCGTGTACTGGGTAGCATGCTAATGGGACCACTGCTGTCAAAGTGTGAGAACCAGTGTGAACAATGGCTTAATTCTGCCTTGTTGAATTATGGACTGGAGAGCAGGGATCCTCCGTTGGGTAGGTAGCTGGAGTTGATCTTTTTGTAATATATACAATATGAGCGGGAGATCTGTATGAGGATTTAAAACAGCAAGCTGCAAATGAGCTGTTTTAAAACTCATACGGATCTCACGCGAATATTGTATATTACTTTTAAAATGTCTAGATTAATGCTTCTTTTTTAGAGTAAAAATTTTAACATTAAATGCAATTTGGCCGAGATATTTCAAAGTCAACCTTATGCAAATCAGGACGAATTCTGTATCAGGGTTTACAGATGCCTTCACGGTAGTGATTTTGTATTGTTCTAAGGTCATTAATTAATCATGACCATTTTAAATGGGCTTTCTCAACGCTCATTTTTTWAAAAAAGGACAAAAAACTTGCATTTTCACAGTCTTAATGCTTCCCACTTCACTTGTTAGTCAACACTTCACTCATCAGTCAATTGTCAAATTATGTTGACAAAGCCTTCCCAGATATTGAATCAATATTGAATTGATAGCAACAGGCATAGCTCAGTTGGCTGAAGTGCATCCTTCAGTGACAGAGGTCCATAGTCTAATCCCCAGGAACTTTTCTCTTATCATCGTAGCTTGAGCATTGAATACACTCAAAACAGAGCACTGATGGGGGAAAGGGGGTGTTAAAAATGCGCAGCGTCAGTCTCCTGGAATACCAGCCCCGTAGCTTTTTAGTTTTACCTATAATTTACCAAGTGTGGTGTATCGGTAGTGGTAGATTACCTCTCACCTCTGGACATGAGCAATGATGAAGTTTTTCACATGACTTGATATCAAGTGATCATCATTGTTGTTCATAAGCTTTTATGTGCAGCACACTAGATCCTGATGATCAAGCATGATACTTAATCTTCTTTCTGAGCTCATTCCCCCTTCACACTCCACTGTTGTTCTCTCCTATGCTACGAGAGTTTTCTCCGGGTTCTCCGGTTTTCCTCCCTCCGTAAAAATCAACATGTGAGTTGAGTGTCGTGTGCATAGAACATTGAATGTAGCGGTAGTGTGTGTGTCAAGGGCGGAACCAGCCAAAATTTTAGGAGGGGGGGGGGGGGCTAATTGAGTTTCTTCCGTCAACACAACGGAAAACAATAAAAAAAAAATCATCTATTTCTTCAGTTTTGTGTTGTTTTCTGCTTCAGCCCCCCTTTGCCCCCCTGGATCCGCCCTTGGTGTGTGTGAGTGAAAAGTGTCCCCAATTAGAGTGAAGCCATTAAACCCATGAAATAGATATTAGACTAATACATATTAGTAGACCTTAATTCTTTTTTTTTTTTTGTGTCTATTTGGCTATTACACGTTGACTAGTAATTTTTATTTCACGGGTTAAATGCCTTCACTCTAGTTCAAAAGCACTAGATCGACTAGAGTTAAAGAGATTTATTTTTCATTTTAATCTCTGTATGTATCATATCTGATATCTAATTTCTAACTTTCAACTTTCTTGTTCATCAGAGAAAGCCATGGCAGCCAYCTTGTCTTTACTAAGGCACGACACAATCTTCGATAGTCTAGAGAATGCTCGCTCAAGTCTTCCACCAGACCTTATTTTCCTGCTAGATTTAGCTGACGGACCTACCATAGAATCTGCCCACAGCTTGCTAACGCTATTACAATCGTTTGACAAGTTTAAAGGTACGTAAGTGCTTACTAGGTAGTGCATATCCTTCATCACACTATGCGCTCTCATAGGGACTGCAGAGAGAAATTGTCATTGGGGGGAGGGGGGGAACAAGACCCACGAAAACGAGACCCTTGGAAGTGCGATTTCTAGTGTTTTGGGGGGTATTTACAACATATGTTTTGCATTGAGTATTGATATTTTAAACAGCAAACAAGTAATTCAAAATATACCGGTAAAAAAAATTTTTTTGGGGGAGGGGGGCAGGACCTCCCTCCGCGGTCCCTGTCTTACCACTGTTAACACACTAGTCTTAACTGACATACCACAGGTTAGTGGGCAGTAAACTACCGTCTAACAATAATTCTTTAGAGTTCGAAAAAGTTTATTTATCATGATATTTAAACCAGGAAGCCCATGTCTTGAAAGGATTTTTTAAATAGGATCCTGCATGGTTCATTGAACCTGTACTGTAACGATTCCACATGAAAAATTCTTTTTTCGGCGCCATCAATAAAGTTTCACATGTCAAACTCGACAGTTTTACTTCGCAATTGTCTGAAATATGACTTTAAAAAAAGGAACAAGTTTAGCGCATCACGCTTCAAAAATGCGCGTAAATGATAGTAAAGCCTGTGGCCAGTCACAAAGTGACAATTGTTGATTCCTTTACAGAAATAGATACACGGGATGTTCCAGACCCAATGTTGTTGGACACGGCGGCTCGCTTTGTGTTTGCTTGTATTCTTAAGCACTGTGGACTGTTACCTGTGGCACTGCAAAAGATAAAGTAAGATCAACAAATGTCCTTATAATAATATTATATTATGTATCCGTAATATAAGTCATTGTCATTCCAAGAAGGGTAAAAGAAAAAAGGGTGTGTATGGGGGTCTCAAATGATACTTTTATTGCCATAACAAAGTAGTTTACAAACCGGAAAAAGAAGAAGGCGAGAGAGACCTGTTTGGGCAATAGGCCCTTTGCAGCTAAGCAATCACGTGCTGCTTAATTTACTGAGAGCAAATGAATGAACATCTTGATTCCCATGGGTGAAACATACTGCTGAGCAAACAAACTTTCTACATACTGTTTTCGAGAGATCGTAATAAAATTGCATTTCGTAACACACTGGTTGCACATCGTTTCATTCAGTTCT